ATGTAACAGTGTACCGACGTACGCATTCATGCGCACAATATCTCGGAACCCCAACTGACCCGGGCATATACTATACAGGGTACGGAAAGGTCACTAACAGATTAGCTTTCAGGGCACAAACATGTGGTTTCAAGCATGCACAACCGTGGTAGCCTATGAGGTGTACCCACGTCATTGCGCAATCAGTAGCTTCTGTGGCCAATCCATGCCTGTCAGGGCAAAGAGGGAGTGGCCAGCTGGCGCCGATGCTTTTCAGAAGCTAGACTCACTCATTGTCCATTAGCAGCTACATTGGACGCTGTACCCGCCAAACCTACCGGCTATATCATATGCCGCCATTTGTAGCAGACGCCACTTTTCTTCCATGGCCGCTCTAAAGGATCTCTTGTCGCGCCTTGGCGCTCCTCCCAGCGACGTCTACATATTTGTAGAGGTTTCTCTCCTTCCTGCTCTGCAACCATACCTGCATCCGTTCGTCGGGCGCAATGGGAATGATATGAAGAGGCTGTCTATCGGCCTTCTCTATTCCGCAGACGGCGCGCATCGCTTCAGGCCCATTGTAGTGAGCACCGATCGGGAGCCACTGAGGCTGGGCCACGATGTCAGCGGCGACCAGCGGGCATATATCCGCCGTACTCGGTCCGGCCGCATAACCCCCCAGGTAATGGCGAAATGTACTAGAGATGACACGCAAAAATGTCTCCTATATATGGACTCAAGACGTTGGTGCTCAATATATGTCTCTGTGATACTCTATGTTGTTACGTGCAGCTTTTCACGCAGTTCATGCTAGGCCTCAACGCTGCGAAATTTGCAGAGGACCGTGACATCGTCGTCCTTGTGTCCTCGCGTAGGCACAAGCTCACTTGGGGAGAGGGCAAGCGAGAGCCGAGTGGGCCCTTCATGGTGCACCACCTAACCCATACTCGCATTGTGCAGCTTCATGATACTGTACCAGACGTGGGGAACCCCGTCGTGCAGGGCATTGTCACGTTCATCAGGTCCGAATTCCGCACAATGTGGGTGGACCACCAGACTCGCTTCATGAGGCGCGTGCCTCCAGCTTGGGTGTGGACCAGCAACTCTCCATCGGCCGCGAACACGTTGCAGTGGACATACCAGGCACTGTGGGGGGTGGCGACATCTCACATTCAGCTCGCGTTTTGGTGCACTGGGTGCGTCCCGGACGAGTGGCTGCCTCGGCTTCACGCGATCAACCGCGACCTGCATGTCGAGGTTGTAGAGCAGCTCGTCGCTAGCCTCACGGGCCTGCAGAGGAGGCTGGACCAGTTGGACATCCCCGACTGCGTGATGGAAGCATTGGACTACGCAACTTGGGATGACACCATGGACGAGGATACGGCCGAACGTGTTCCTGAGCCGGTCATCCGTCGGATTGATGATTCAAGCAGTGTCGGCCGCGTCAAATGGGACGACAGGACTCGCCGCCGGTTCATGCGTATGGCATCTGATGCATACACAAGGCTTGCTAGCGCGACGGGAGTAGCTCCGAGTGTCGTCGTCACGCTTAAGCGCTTGGGGAACCCGGACCTCGTTGACCGACTGCTGCGCACACCAGAGAAGAAGGTTAGGAGGCATTCATACGCGCCTTCCTCGTCCATGTCTTCCACGGCCAGCGGGGAGATATGCTTCAACTCCCCAACGGCATCCCTGTCTAGCGTGCATGGGGATATTGAGTATGGGATGTAGTAACTGATGGTTGTATTGATCTCAATAACCGTTGTATTTGTCGAATAATACGCACATCGTCAATCATTGTGTACGTAACGAGATTGTTCACGTTGGGGATATAGGGATTTCCACGCTCAATCCGAGAGCGAGTATGATGTTCACCTCCCCGATATGGCACAATCTGAAGAAAGCGCGAACTAATTTTGCAGTTTGTCCTCGGTACACCCAGTTGACCATGAAAGCGTGCCAACACTCCACAAACCACTCCACACCGCTTCCAATCGTCCCAGCAGCCCGTTCCTTGATTCCCGTAGGACGGACACTTACAAAACCCTAACGTCCGCCTAATGTTACTGATTTTAGTTGGTAGTGGCATGATGAGCGCAACGCGTTGTAAAGCGCGCGACGTGCTGGAGCCTCGTCGGCGCAACACCCGGGGTTATTTCATACGGTCTAAGCCCACTATAGCCTACGCCATAATGCAGGTGCAGGGTGCCATAATGTCACAACGAGGTGAGACCCTTAGCGCGGCCACGATTCTGATGTCTCTGGACCCATTCCTGGGTAGTGGAAGGCGCAGTCCTAGACAGCACAGGGCGCGCGCGATTTCAGAAGCCCGTGCGTCTCTTGCAATAACACCCGATGCACCCACACCGTTCATGTACCTGAGGCTCATATACGCCACGTATCCGGACGAGTCGGAGTCGAGCATTACACGTGCCAAAGGTCGACGGTTTATGACGTCAATAGCGGATTACAGACTCCTAAATCACAGCGCAACAAGCCTCGAGGATGTCATACTGCCGGAGTTACCGACATTTGACTACAGAGTCGTTCTAATGGCCGAGGCAAGGGCGATGGGATATGAGGTGAGGATCGTTGGCGTGCCGACTGGGTGTGTTTCCGATGGCCATTGAAAGGTGTGGGATGTTTATCTGGTGTGCAGGAGGAGAGACATCGGTCCGATGGGTCCAGGATTTCGGCACCTCACTCAAGAGACATATGCACGGGAGGTGGCACCTCATCCATTGTAAGCCGTATATGTTGTTCTGTTGATGCCCTTACAAAGGACGGTGTGTGTTGTGGTGCCTGCATATCCTACGCTAAACCCAGATGAAGCATGTTTCAGGTGCACAGGCCCAAGGAGTGGAAGGACATGGACGAAGGAGTGCGCATCGGGGATCTCAGTCGTGCTCTGGGGATGATACCTTGGTGGTCCAAGGTATCTACTAAGCCCATGCAAGAAGAGTCCATGACGGGCACCTCATCCAAGACTATTGATTGTGCCTACGTTCGCCTAGTAAAGTATAACGCCAACCGGTAGACAGGGCCTTTTGACTTATCGGCGCGTGGGCATAGGTTGTTACGGAACGGGATTAGACTGTGCCGTCGAAACGTTGAAATACTTGCAGATGTAGCCAGTTTGAGATTTGATGTATCATGTAAACATCAAACCTTAAAAGTTTTCAGGGCCGTTCACACTATCGAGCTTCTTTGTACATGTCGTGTAACACACACCGTAAATCAATCGGGTGTATAACGTCAAACGGCGAGATTTTGGCGGCGATATCGCGGACGGAAATGGCTTCCGAAGTGGCTTCGAACAATTGGGAGGCAGATACAAGGAGTCATTTAGCACTGTGTGGCTATTCGTTCAAACCCTAACCTTATTCCCGGTATGGCCTCCCCTAGCAGCAACGACACAGAGGTAGCGGCGCGTCACATAAACAAGCTACTGGGTGGTAGCTTTGATCGAGATGGCACGCGTATGCAGGGACCGCCAGCGTGTGGTGATATAAACGCGGGTGCCGACATCAGTCGAGATAAAACCGTCATTGTGACTGTTACACCCGAGCCACACACCGGTAATGGCCGACAGCCGGTGGTAGACTCATCTGATGACGAAACGGAGGATGGAGTCGCGGGGGCTACGCAGTCAATTACGGGACATGTGAACCACGAACAGCCCACGATATCAGCAGGGGGGAATGTAGATGCTGCACACTCGGTACCTAGTAGCTGGGAGAGGATGCAGATGGAGGAAACAGCCGCGGGTGCGGAGCGCGAAGATCCACCGGCCGATTCACGCGAAGGTTCTACCCGCGTGAATGATCTCTTCGACTTCTTCTTCCCTGGCAACAGGGGCGACGCGAATAATGTGCCCGTTGAGACGGGAGATTCAGACCCTCCAAACCCGTCCAGGTCTAGCTCGGCGTACAGGGCCCCGGGTACTTGCGTGTCTAGCGCCGCTACTCCTACGAGGCACGTCCGGTCACAGACAGGTGAGTACCAAACAACATGAATTGCTTGACTGCGTGCTGCCACTTGTGGGAGCCATGTTGCACGTTATTTACCTCGCGCTGCGCTGCGTTGCGCACATGTCCCATAGGATGTCCGGATGAACGTACACACGAGTATGGGCGGCGCCGCGAGAGGCGGAGGCGTACGCACGTCGAGGACCCCGGAGGTAAGGGCCGTCCTGTTATTTGCCGTGGCCGATGCTTCACATTGCCTCACGACTTGTCTTTGTGCCCTTATGGCAGATGGTACCAGGACCACCAATATTGATGGAGCGTTGCTCCTGTTAGATGTACTTGATCGTCTCATGCGGCGACGTCGTAGTCGGCGTGACCACCGTGGCAGCTATTACTGATAAGTTTACCCCCATATGGCCGGAATGTAAAGCATGCCGTACTTGGAGTGCATGTAGTTGCCCTGAACCCGCTTATGTATTAGATTTTAAGTATGCCATTGTGGTTTTGTGTGACACATGTGGAAAAATGCATTGGCATAGGTTTCGTAGGGGTGTGGACAATTGTTGTAATAATTCACCGTTTATGTCTGGCAAGGATGGGAGATAGTCCATCGGAAATGACAGACGGTGTTTGAACATTGATCTTCTATGTTTTGCTGTATCGAGTATATTCCCACGTCGTGGTGTAACCACCGCGCCTGAACAAAGCAAGTGCATACTTCACGAAGGGATTTCTTACCGCATGCATTTCAGCCGGTTAGGGTTTCTCGTTACGGATAAGGCCGCCCGCCCGGACTCTCCGCCCTTTTGTGCATGCACGATGTATTTGACGAGCCATTATAGCAGGTGTGATTATGGGGTGACGTAGGCGGAGGACCCATGTTCCGAACATGCAGTATTAGTAACTGGAGTAATAGAACGGTCTGCGGTGCGCGAGACGTGGTGTACGGAGTTTCGGTGGTAGGATGCAGGGCGTGCGCGGCTCAAAAATAGCATAGGTGGTACTGCGTGTAGTCAGGGAACGGCCATTGGGTGTGTGCGCAGATTAAGACACATGGCAGGGAACAGGTGCGGGGCGTGCGGGCAGGAGCTGGAGTCAGACAACCTACTGAGAATCCATCTGTATCGCAATGACACGTGCAGGGACACGCTGCTCGAGAGGCTCGAGAGTAGGGCGGTGGAGGCGTTGGCGGAGGCTTTGGCCGAGGTGAGAAATAGCCCGCATCATTCGGACAGTGAGTCAGTCCCGGGCAGCCCCCACTCCGCCGACTCGCTGTTCAGATATTTGAGAGAGTTTCCCGAGCACGCGGATTTTGTGCGCGGGTACGTGTCGACGTCGGACGATGGATCTGTATCCACAGTTGGCGACCTGTTCAACACCCTGAACGAGCTGTACCTGTTCTTCAAGGACGCTGATTTGTCGGACAGAGAAATAAATAGAGTGTTGCACATATTCAACCACCCGGGATACGATCCTGCAGCGGTTCGGCGCTGGTAGAACGTCGCCGACGTGAGGCGGTTTGGGGAGGAACACGCGCCGGACGACATGGTGCCGTGGCTCAAGGCAGAGATTGAGGTGCGGGGCCCCGGAGGAAGGTCTCAGATGCTGGAACTGCTGTACAAGGACACCAAGCTGGTGAGCGATTGATGGTTGGTGCTGCACGGAGTCGGCGAGTGTATGTCTGTTTATGCACCGTCTATACACAGGCTTCCCGCGCCTCCTTGTGGACAGATTGCGCAGAAGATGGTGAAGACATTCGTGAATGTGAGGGGATTTGTCAAACGGCCGCGGCGAGATCCGGAAGATACGGCGGACACAAGACATTTCAGTACCCCCGACACAGGGACTTGGCTGGAAGAGGCGCAGGCAAGTAGAGGCAAATGTTCCCAAGCGTCACATGGGGCTCTGATGTGAGTTGGTCTGACTCTTTTGGTCGCCTTGTGTCGTTGTCAGGCGGAACTGCCGGAGGAGGATTCTATGGTGCTGGGTGTCATCTCGTACAGCGACAGCACTTACGCGTCGGGGAACAGACGCCTACAGGCATGGCCAATGTTGATGGGTTTGGTCAATGTCCCGGAGGAGTTACGGTGGCGTGAGCCTGGGCACGCGCTAGTGGGTGTGCTCCCTTTTCCGCCGGAGTGGGCATCGGCGACGGAGAAGACGCGGGTGTATCAGGAGGCGTATCGCATCGTGATGGGTCCGCTCATGCGTGAGAGCCGCGAGTAAGTGGTCCGAATGCATGCTCTAGGCCGTTGGAGGAGGAGGAGGAGGAGGAGGAGGAGTGGTGGTATGCGCGGTGTCTCTGTATTTTCAGGGCGGTGAACTACAGCGGGGAGGAAGGTGCATATGTATTCGTGAAGTATTACGAGGAAGAGGGGGTGTGTCCCCAGACACTTTGCCCCCAACTGGTGCCGGGGCGGAAGGAGGCCACGCACGGGATCATTGAAGTTGCATCGATCGAGCGCATTGTCCACGTGTGCAAGTCCTTTAAGAAAGATAGAGTCAGGCTACTCAATAGGTTTCCACTCATCGACTGATGGATTTGAACGCATTGCGACATGAATAACAAGATGGCCCTAAGTGTGGCCCCAAACATGGAGTAATAACGTTGTTTTGATACGGAAGTGGGATATGGCCGGGATCACTGGTGAACTTGATAAATTGAAGTCACAATTGTAACTGCAAAGTAGCGTTGGAGACACTTCAGTGTTGTTGCTGCAATGTCACTTTGGCCACTCAGCTGTAAATGTGCGCGCCGAAGCTTTTCCGAAGCTTTTCCGAAGGTTTCCCGCAGGAAAAGCTACCGTGTACATTTTGTGCAAACTCGGAATTTCGTGATGAACGGGGCACCGTCATGGTCGTTTTTCCCCTTCTCAGAGTTTGCGCCTCCATACGTCGACCAGTGTCCCGTTCGAGAGGTACATGCCCGTTGTTCAGGCGCTAGAAACGTCGCACATGCACCGCTACCCAGTGTTGCTCCACTGAAAGCATTGTAAACGGTAGTACAGTGTATAACAATTCTGTCTGTAGTGACTAGGTGCCAGACAGACTGGCGTTGACAAAGGCTAGTATAAGTAAAAAAAAAAACTTCATTGCTGTGTGGCACAGCTACTCCAGACGCTGTGGCGTGCCGCTTTTTACTCGAATTCTCGATTGGAACCCAATGGAAGAGTGCCAAGGCATGCATGTATGCCTGTTGTTCCAACGGGCGGCGGAGTCGCTGGTTGTGCAAGGCTCTCTTTTTTGCGTTACGTACATGATTGCGACCGCGGCAGTACAAAGTCGCACAGGTCGCAATAGGTCTCAGTTCGCAGCTCGCAGCGTTTCATAGATGTGTATTTCTATCATAGTAGCTGCATCGACGAGGTGCAAGTGCATGCAGCCTGCATGCGGAATTTGAGCTGAGCTTGCTGCTCACATGATCACATCTCGCCGCGGCATCTCCCAACTCGCTCGCATCATCTCGCATCATTCAGCAGCTCGCAGTTTCTAGTAGATCGAGTGTGGCGGGGTAAAACCGCAACCTCTCTTCACCGCTGCTTCTCGCCGCGGCGTTGACATTTGCTCGCCGCCCTCAACGGCAGAGTTCATCCACGTTGCATGATCGCGATGCACGATCGTGTCGTTAGTTCTCCACTAAAACTGCCTGAAGAAGGTTTGGAGTTTAGTAGTCGAAGAAGTTTTGCAGAGATGATGGAAGGCAAGGTTCTGTCGGAAAGAGGTCACCCAACTTTATCGTGCGACCACAAAAATCGCACCACCAGCTGACTGCTTCCGCTGGTGGGAATCTGCTTCCATAGTGCACTGGGGAGGCGACGACAATGCCTTCATGCAACTGCATTATGCTCCCACTGATGCATGTGAGGTTATCAACGTATGGGTTGAGTGGATGTGGCTGAAATGGGTGAAAGCATCGGTTTGGTTTGGGAATTAGGCTTGGAATTGGTTTGGGTTTGGGGCGTAACGATCAAACGCCAAGAGGGAGCGAAATACGGGCGGGCGATGAGCTGGCGGGGTGGATGTTTGGTTGGGATTTGTTTGGTGGAATCGAAAAAAACCAGAACGGAACGGACATCTGAACAGATTGGCGCAGCGCGCAATTCAGAAGTGCGCTTCGGGTATTCAACGCCAACGAACGACAAATCCGCCGCACAGGTCACCAACACTGCTCCCCGACGTGAGTTGACATTCGGTAGTGGAGAGTTCTACAATTTGCTGGAAGTTCCCTTGAGAGTGTATTTTACAAGATGTAGATAATTGATCTCTTTGATATTGCTACATTATTAAAATCTACTCAGATTTTGAAGTTGGTACTCATATGAACGCTATGTATAAGATATTTGTCATGTGTGTGTGTATATGTGCGAGTGTGTGTGTGTGTGTGTATGAGTGTGTGTGTGTGAGTATATGTATATGAGTATGTATGAATATGTGCTGGTATAAGTATGTTTATGTGTGAGAGTATATGTGTGTGTGTTTGTATGTGTGTGTGTGTCTGTATGTGTATGTGTGTGTGTGCGTGTGTGTGCGTGTGTGTGTGTGTGTGCGTGTGTGTGCGTGTGTGTGCGTGTGTGTGCGTGTGTGTGCGTGTGTGTGCGTGTGTGTGCGTGTGTGTGCGTGTGTGTGCGTGTGTGTGCGTGTGTGTGCGTGTGTGTGCGTGTGTGTGCGTGTGTGCGTGTGTGTGCGTGTGTGTGCGTGTGTGTGCGTGTGTGTGCGTGTGTGTGCGTGTGTGTGCGTGTGTGTGCGTGTGTGTGCGTGTGTGTGTGTGTGTGTGTGTGTGTGTGTGTGTGTGTGTGTGTGTGTGTGTGTGTGTGTGTGTGTGTGTGTGTGTGTGTGTGTGTGTGTGTGTGTGTGTGTGTGTGTGTGTGTGTGTGTGTGTGTGTGTGTGTGTGTGTGTGTGTGTGTGTGTGTGTGTGTGTGTGTGTGTGTGTGTGTGTGTGTGTGTGTGTGTGTGTGTGTGTGTGTGTGTGTGTGTGTGTGTGTGTGTGTGTGTGTGTGTGTGTGTGTGTGTGTGTGTGTGTGTGTGTGTGTGTGTGTGTGTGTGTGTGTGTGTGTGTGTGTGTGTGTGTGTGTGTGTGTGTGTGTGTGTGTGTGTGTGTGTGTGTGTGTGTGTGTGTGTGTGTGTGTGGTGTGTGTGTGTGTGTGTGTGTGTGTGTGTGTGTGTGTGTGTGTGTGTGTGTGTGTGTGTGTGTGTGTGTGTGTGTGTGTGTGTGTGTGTGTGTGTGTGTGTGTGTGTGTGTGTGTGTGTGTGTGTGTGTGTGTGTGTGTGTGTGTGTGTGTGTGTGTGTGTGTGTGTGTGTGTGTGTGTGTGTGTGTGTGTGTGTGTGTGTGTGTGTGTGTGTGTGTGTGTGTGTGTGTGTGTGTGTGTGTGTGTGTGTGTGTGTGTGTGTGTGTGTGTGTGTGTGTGTGTGTGTGTGTGTGTGTGTGTGTGTGTGTGTGTGTGTGTGTGTGTGTGTGTGTGTGTGTGTGTGTGTGTGTGTGTGTGTGTGTGTGTGTGTGTGTGTGTGTGTGTGTGTGTGTATGTGTGTGTATGTGTGTGTGTGTGTGTATGTGTGTGTATGTGTGTGTGTGTGTGTGTATGCGTGTGCATGTGTGTGTGTGTCTGTGTGTGACACCTAGTGGATATGGTTGCTGAGATCTGGCAAGAGTCAATGAGAAACCTGAACTGCGCGAGGACCAGCACTCAGCAAGCAGCGAAGGGGGTTCAACTCAAGGAATATCAGTCGCCTAAGTTTGATCGACGGCATCTGGCGACTGGGTTGAAGGTGGAACTTTTAGGAGAGATGCCATCAAAGCACCTGTCGGCGATGGTTTAGGCAAAAACAGCGTGCACCCCAATCTCAGTGCTGTAGACGACGAGCAGTACCATGTCAGACTCAAAGGGCATTTTGAAAGAAGCATCTAGTTTCTTCAGGGAGGACAGATGTCGCATCTAGGAAGAATGGAAGCATGTGAAGGAGAAAAAACTAGAACACCGGCAGGCAGAGGAGCTGGCAGAAGATTGGTCAAAACATGAGTTTAAGGCAGCTTTTGGAGCGATGGCAGCCAACAAATCCCCCGGGAGCGGCCTGCTGAAAGATCTATTTGAAGCTCTCTAGGGCGTGTTGTGGAAAGGCTTCATGGTGCTGGCAAATGATTTTGGTGCCACATGTACACTATCCATGGAGGCGAAAGGAAGTGGTTACCATCCTGCTGCATAAGGAGGGTGTCATGGACCAGCTCAACGACTATAGGCCGGTCACCCTTCTTCACTTTACGTACAAAGTACTGGGGAGAGTAATTGCGGCCAGGATGAAAAAGGTTCTCAGAAAGGTGATATTGGTGGAGCACTATGGCTTCTTACCTGGAAGGCGCCTCTCGGATGCGGTGGGACTGGTAGCTGATGTAATCGACGCAACCCGCAACGGGAGCGATGACTAATTCTTATTGATGGTTGACTTCAAGAATGCCTTCGACTCCGTATCAAGAGACTTCATCTTCAAGATCCTGAAGTCGATGGAATTTCCGGCTCGTTTCGTGAGTTGGGTGGAAGCTCCGGACAAAGGGACAAGGAAGAGATTACAGGACAATGGATGGATAGGAGAAGGCGTGGAAGTAATCTTTTTTTTTTTTTAATGAATGTTATTACACTATTGGTAGTGCATACATTCTCAGTCGTAACTAGTGGAAGTAATCTGGGGGGTCCAGCAGTGTTGCCCCTTCGCCTTGTACTTGATTCTGTGTGCTGTGGAGCCGTTGGCATAAGAGGTTCTAAAAAAGAAGCTAGAACTCAGCAAACTCGAGCAGCGGCTCTTGTATACTGGCTACGTGGATGGCACCACGTGGATCCTGGAAGGAAAGGAGCATATCATCAAAGCTAAAAAGATACTGGAGAAATTGGAACCCACTTCGGGACTTGCGACCAATATAGAGAAATTAGTGATCCTACCGTTGGGGAACAACATTGGTCAACACTTCTAACAGCTTCAAGTGGGCGGAAGCAGACGACATGGAAAGACTAGTGGGAGTATGGATAACACCTGCTGGGAGCTGTTCACCAACATGGGAAAAAGCGGAGGTGAGCATCACATGAAAGCTCAAGCAATGGTAGAAGAATTTCCTCCCAACAGCGGCAAGAACAGCAGTGGTAAACAGGTGCTCGATGCCAGTGGTCGCTTTCCAGGCACACGTATACGCCCCACCGCCGAATACCTGGAAAACCCCTTCCAAGTCATTCCAAAACTTTT